TTCTCTTAGTAAATAAATTACTATTACACCAATCTCAACATAACATATTGATATTGCCAAAAAAATCTCTTAGAAACCAAGTTACTATTACACCGATGATTCTCAATGTCTCTTAGTAACTAAATTACTATTACATGCACGAATCCAACAAACAAGACGGCGCTAGTGCCACATATCGATGTTGAGCCGACAAAGCACTATAGATCCTTAGGTCTCCCATCGACAGATATCCATCACCCACGAACATCTAGAGAGGCATCCCACAGCCACCTGGATATAGACAAAAACGATTACATCATCTAAGAGAAGTCTTTAATTTACACTCATAAATGACTCTAAATGAAATATGATTCGCCGAAGAAGAAATAAAATGCTTCATAAAAAATTGAGCTACCAGTTTAGGTTCCTTCATGCCTACTTTTAGCCAACAGATCATTTTTTATTCAGACTAGCATGGAGGTCACATTATGTTTTCTTAACGGTAGTTCCTGGGCTTGCCTAGTCCCGATCTGTAATCGATGACATTGTGCAAAAAACAAAATTAAGAATGCAGTTGGCTGAAAAATGTAGAATAGGTAATTGGGATGCTTCAGGCTAAAATATCCAGATATCTCTGATTAATAACATACAAGTTAAAAGCTACACAAAACCTGCCATCTTTTCAGATGAAAAACGATTTCAAGAATAAAAATGGACCGAATGTTCTTAATGAAAAGAATAATCATAAATTCAGAATGATCTAGCATTCACTACAAATTGATCTACAATGGATCGATGGAACATGCATGTATGTTATACAGCGCATCAACGAACACAAGCAATCACCACATATCTGGAGCCCGCAAATAAGCTGCAATTAACTGATCAAACATGGCAGCTATGCTTCCTCAAAGAAAAACAAGTAGCTATTGCCTATAGAGATTGATTGAGTAGATAGAACATGGAGAGAAAATAAAACAAATTAAGCATCCTGACTTTCATTGGAACACATACGAATTGAACATCCATCCATCCATCGATCCTGACCGCCATCCCCATGCCTGCTTTGCGTGGCCAGGGTCTCCAGCGCCTGCTGCCGACCGGCACGAGTGCAGACTGCAGAATGTGAAGGAATCAGAATACAGGAGCAAATTAGCAGAACTGCAGCAGCAAATCGGTAAAACAACAAAGATGCAAAGTAAAAAGTTCAAAATTGCATGGACTCAGCTGCTTACCCTCATTATCATCGTGCATCACAGATCATGACGCCACCGCTGTGGGAGGGAGGCAGCGATGGGAGGCCTGATCCGTGCCAGATCCTTCGAGGGAGGAATCAGGGTGTGGTCAACGCAGCCGGAAGCTCCTCCCCGCATCCCGCCGTCAACCGCCCCCTCCTCCTCAAGAGATCCTGTCGATGTCGACGCCGATTCATGGGCGGGGTGGGGAAGGGAGCACCAGATCGAGCGAGGACCTCAACTCACCTGTCGATGTCGACGCCGATTCATGGGCGGGGTGGGGAAGGGAGCACCTCACCTCTCCATGGCTCGGCGCAAAGGACGTCGGCGACCCGCGACCATCGCCGCCTCCGACCGATTTCACCCGTCGTTAACCGATTTCGCCCATCGTCCGCCGCCCGTCGCTGGAGGACACTTCCACCGCCCACGCTTTCGTCCATGAGCTTTGTCCACGCTACCACGCAGGATCATGCGTGGAAGATAGTCGTGCGCAGCAGGACCAGCTGCATGCACACGCTAGGAGCTGGATGGTTTTGTTCAAATTACTGTGTTTCAGATAGGGTTAATGATTCTGGACTGATATTCTTGATAGTGTTTTGGGTATATACGTACCTAGTATATGTGCGTTTAAATAGGTATATAGACAATTAGAAATGATACTTACCCAAAATACGAGTTTTAATTCAATAAAAAAATAGTTTTACTGGGTATATACCTAGTATGTGTAAATAGGTATATTCCGAATTATAATTGTGGTACATCACACGTACCCAATATACATGTTTAAATACTCCTAAGTATATAATGTGTTCTAAGGTATACATACCACCTAGTATGCGTGTTTAAATAGGTATACAGCCAATATATAAGAAATTATGTTTACCCAAAACATGTGTTTTAGTGGGTATATTCACCTAAAATATACTACCTCCATTTTTGTTTATATGACGCTGGCTAGTTAAAGTTTAAACTAAACAGCGTCATATAAAAAAAACCGGAGGGAGTACCTAGTATGCCTGTTTGCGTAGGTATATACCGAATAGAATCTACCCAATATGTGTGTTTAAATACTCATAAGAAATTAATATGCGTGTTCTAAATGGGTATATGCCCAATTAAATGGTACAACTGGAATGCATGCATGTACAAACCTAGCTCATGAGTGGTACATTTGTGTAAGCAGGTTATTTTCTAAATATTTTCGAGTGTATTTTCTAATTATTTTCTAGAGTGTACTTTCTATAATAATTTTTAGAGTGTCTTTTTCACCGGATATGTGTTTTTTCTTCTTGCCAAGAAACGGATTTGGCTTTTGTCTTTATCAAATGCCATGCACATTCTCGAACGATGATTATGAAGGTTAACTTGTCATTCTTGCATGTAATCGATTGAGTGCGATGACAAGTTAATATATATACTTAGATTCCAAATTTTCATGTACTTAATTATATTCCGAAATTTCGATGTATATTACTCGTATAACCCAATCGTATCATTATATACCTTATTAATGTGTACCAATCACATTCCATGCATAGCTAAACACCAGTGCAAAATGCTAAAATGTATTGGTCAAATTTTTTAAATATATAAATTCTGTAATTTGAAAGTGCAACGCGCTAATTTAGATACGTGTACATAAGCCTACCGTACTACTACACATTACTCCTACTTGGTACTGAAAATTTCAAATAATCGGTTTCCACGTAATATACTTTGCATGTGTGTATCCACGTAAAACTACAATTTTCACAACCCGAACTGATTATATACCTACTTTACACATAACCCAGCGGATTTGCTATAATTATGTCGATAGATTTTTTTCGTTGATTACAGTTGATTCTCTGGCCGTTGGATCTGTGTTTAAGATCCGTGCTTCCATATTGACTTTTTCCTCGCAAAGAGACCTGAAAGCATATGCTATTGCTAGCTAATCTCTAAAGTCATGCAAATCCAAGTGAAACGTCACCTAATTTCGTTCTATATGTATGCATCCTTTTCTTTAACACAAATTTACACCCCGCTTACATCCTACTTACACATGTAATTACTATGTAATTTTGAGACTTACATCTGTAATTTTAAAACTTACATTATAAATACACTAAATTTACATATGTAATTTAGAGACTTACAATGTAAATACAAGCTGACCATTTTTGGGTGAAAAATATGGCGCCATAAATCTAGCTACACCCTAACCCAGAATTGATTATTTATACCTAGAAAACATTAATAAATACTCACCTTTTTTTTGCATCTTGGCCGGATGTGAAAATTGACATACCCGAAACCCAAAATTAATGACCTTAAATTTGCTATTTACCTTTGTCAAAAATAATATAAAATATCCCACTTTCCAATTATACGGAATTGATTTTCCATAAATTATGGATGTAAACAAGGACATTAATTACAGCTTAATTACGGTATAGTTGATACAGGATCATGCATGCGGCAATTTTTTGACCAGCCGTTGCACTTTCTAAATCAGGAATTTAATACGGGCAGACCCGTTAATCTTCAGTCCGCATCAATCTCTTGATCAAGTTCTCATCCAACGGTTTATACCCATGGAGCCCATACACCATGGTGCCCCAAATGGCCATCCTATATGTATATGTATATGTATATGTGTATATGTATGTGTATATATATATATATATGTGTGTGTGTGTATGTATGTATATGTATGTATATGTGTATATATATGTATATATATATATATATGTATATGTATATATGTATATATATATATATATGTATATGTATATGTATATATATATATATGTATATGTATATGTATATATATATATATATATATTCATGTTTGTAATATTTAATACTTAATTAGTCCTGCGTTGATAACCTACGTCGTCTTTCATGCCCTGCCTAAATTCAACCAATTAGATTGAATGTAGCCTAAGTAGGAGATAGATTAGATTATTTACTATAAAATTTAAAATTAAAGAATCAAGTTAACTACATTATTAAAAGATTCTGCTTAAGCTCAACCAATTAGATCAAATTTAGCCTAAGTAGGAGATAAATTAGATTATTTACTATAAAATTTAAAATTAAAGAATCAAGTTAACTTCATTATTAAAAGATTCATTACTTTGGATCATATATATTCTATGGACTAGCTTTTGTTAACTAATTCATACATTTTTAAGAAAAAAGCAAATAAGTTTTGTTGTCTTTCTCGCTATTTCTTAGCTATTAAACTAAAGTAGAAACAATCAATAATATTGGATTTTTTTAGAAACACGACACACGAACACCCTACTCCTTTGAGTACCTCTAAAAGACTGATCCAACACGTTTTGAGATTGAGGATGTCACCACGGGCGTCTCGCTGTCGACGGGTATGCCACCTACCACTGAAAGAATATTTAGCCGTAAATGCGAGCACCCGTATCAAGTCTAGGACTTGAACCAGGTAGACAAGTTACACCACAGGAAACCTAACCAATTGAATTGTGCTCACTTCGCAATAACATTGGATAATAAAACAACCATAATTTTTAAGCTACATAACTGGAATACTTTTATGCCTTTTAAACCGGTGAACAATTTGTTATAACTGTTAGATCTATCTTATATAAAAGTTAAGCATGTATTTATGGTACATGACATTTCCAAAATATTACTACGCAATTATATTTCGTCATTATCGTATTCATATTAGGTTGCATGGAGCCTTTCACCCACCCTACATGAAATGTTCATAGATGGATCACCTCTCAAACTATATCAATCATATTAGCTTATATAAACCCATACATTTAGTGGAGCTTCATGTCCCACCCAATTCATCTCTAATTGAACTATTATAATAGATATGTAATTAAAAAACACCTTACTTTACTTTCGTTGACATGTTTTCCAAAAAATATATGTTTACCTTATTTTCAAATGATAAAGAAGATTATAAATAATTGCTTATAGATATTCCTTAAATATGATATAATATAAAACTAATAGGTTACTAACTTAGCAATTAGTGCTGATGAAAATAATTTATGTACAAATCGTGGCAGATGTTCTCCGTTTAATATTTCGCTCTTATACTTATCTCAAACTTAGAATAGAACGCATGCCCGCGCGAATGCGCGGGCTACCTTCCTAGTTTATTTAATAGTGATACATGCGTGCTCATACTTATACACAGCAGCAGACAGCAGACATCCGCAATTCCGCATGGATGCACCCATATACAGTAGTACTAGGTTACGTTTACAATATAAAACCATATATATGTGAGACGATGGCCTTAGATTATATATATTAACATACGAGACAATGTCGCATGTGAATTTATTGCCAGGTGGCCACGACGGGGCTCCTCACCGTATGTTGGCCATCGCTCCAGACGATCGATCCCCACTGGTGCTCGGACGAGCTGGTCGCCCCTGCCGACACGGTGATGGAGTAATCCAGCGTTCTGCGCTGCGCGTCGAACGCGAGCCTCGTTGGCGTCACCGTGAGAGTGGTGCCGGGCGGTGCGGTGATGGTAACGTTGTACATGACATTGGTGTTCGCCCCGACGTTGGTCACGGCGCGGCGCTGCGTGACCTGCTCTCCGGACCTCACGAACACCACCGAGAACGCCGGGTAGTTGAGGTCGCCCACGGACCTCCGTGGCCTGGTCGAGCAGTCTGTCGTCGAACCGTCATTTGTGAAGAGCGCGATCTGACTACTGTTGTAGCCGAGGCTGCAGAGGAATGTTATGTAATCGTCGGCGGTGGTGTTGTTCACCAATCCAGGGTCGAGGGCACGGTTGGGGTCGACGTGGCCAGACCCAAGCTCGAACGGCCTGGCTGCCTGGCCCGTGGCCATGTCCTTGATGGCATTGCCATCATTGTCCACATTGTAGGCCGTCGTCATCATGGCCGACTTGATTGCCGCTGGGCTCCAACTCGGTTGTGCCACCTTAAGCATAGCGGCGATGCCGCTCATGTGCAGGCACGCCATGGACGTGCCGGAGATGATGTTGAACTCGACGCGCCTATTGTCGATGACATTGGCCATGGTAGGCGACATTTCTCCGGTCCATGCAGCGAGGATGTCGACACCGGGGGCAATCATGTCGGGCTTGAGGATCTCTGGAGCAAAGCGGTTCGGTCCACGACTTGAGAAGGCTGCGACCCTTGGAGCAGACGGTGATTGGTTGATCACAGTGCCTAAGAAGTCGATTCTTGCAACCGGGTCGGCCACCGACTGTGTGTACGAATGGATCGTTTCGGTGTCCTTGAAGGTAATCGTCGACGTTGGCAAGATATCAGCGAAGCTCTGTAAGAAATCACCATATTCTGGAGCAATTGAAATGATGGCACCAACACCACCGGCTTGTTGGACAGCAGCTTCTTGCACTATGGGGTTGGTAGTATTTTTTGTGCCATAGCAGAGGACAATCTTTCCGGTGACCATGTTGCTGGAAAGCATCCCGTATTCACACAGAGCAGAACCAGCATCACCACCGTACACTAGAGGTAGAAATGAACCGGCTGTGTTTTGGCCGAAATACAGCGAGGTGCCGATGTAGGTTCCGCGATTATGTCCAAGGACAACGTGAGCTGGGAACCGACGGTCAATGCTTGATGCGCCAACCGTTATCACCCATGGTGCGAGGTTATTAGCAGTATACGTGCCAGGGCCATCATTTCCAGCGGAGGTGGACACGACTATGCCTCTACGGATGGCATTGAATGCGCCAAGGGAGGTGGGTTCGTTGTAGAGTTGTGGCTTTAGACCACCCAAGGAAAGGGATATGACATCTACTCCATCTGCAATTGCCTCATTCATTCCGGCGAGAATGTCAGAGGTAGCGCACGATGCATTTCCATCATCTCTCCAGCATACTTTGTAGGATGCAATGTGTGCACGTATAGCCATGCCTTGGGCGGTGCCATTGGCATAGCCAACAAAGTTAGCGCCAGGGACCGCTGAACCAGCGGCGGTAGATGCAGTGTGCGTGCCGTGGCCTTCGGTGTCGAGAGGTGACTTGGACTCTTGTGTCTCATTGATCAGGTGACCCATCTTGGCCTCGTGCCCTTTATAGAAAAACTTTGCGCCGACGAGCTTGTTGTTGCAGTAGGCGGTGGCATTAAACGAGCGAGTGGAGACACAATGACCACGGAAGGTGCGAGGTGGTGGAGGAAACGACGAGTCAGCGGTGAAGGATTTGCGGCCCTTGGGATAAATGCCAGTGTCCAAGATCGCGATCACCGCGCCCGTGCCGCCGCCGTTTGATGCCTGTACGAGGCCAACGGACGGTGAGAGACGGAGGAAGGAGGGAGACTGAGTGGTGTGCAGTTGGAGATGCTCGTCGGGGTAGATGGCGAGGACACCAGGGTGGTCCGCGATGTGCGCGGCCTGGTGCTTCGTCATGCATGCCGCGAAGCCCGTGGCGGCATGGGAGTAGGCATAGACGAGCCTAGGTGCTGACCTGTCACGCCCAGAAGTTTCCCCCTTTTTCCTTGCTTTAAATATTTGTTAAATAAATCGTCCGAAGAAATTATCTTAATTAACCTAGAGCTAATTCCATAATTAATAAATGCAATTAATAATCGGAAATAGCGTGGTGGAATTTTTCTTGAGTTCCCCATGCTCCAATGCATTAACAAGATTTTTAGTGGAATTTTCAGAGCCTTGGAAATAATTTTAACCAATTAAAAATCACCAAAGTGCAATATTTAATCCCAGGAAAATCCTTCTCCTCTTTTTCTTTTCTTTTCCTTCCTTTTTCTCTAGATGGGCCGTCGGCCCATCTCTCTCATCGCGCTCGGCACCCCTTTCCTGGGCCGGCCCGCTCCTCCTTTCCCCTCCCCGAAGTCCTCCCTCCCTCCCTTTCTCTTTCGGGCGCCGACAGGTGGGGCCCACCTGTCGGTCGTCCCCTACCTCCGGTCGTTGGAGCCGGAGCTCCACCCGCCCGCGCCGCCGCCTTCTCCACTCCACGTCGCGCCTCCACTCCGCGCCCGCACCTCGCGCCCACGTCGCCGCCCTCTCCCCCGCATCTCCCGCGCGCGCGCGCCCGCAAGTGGTGGGGGATTTGAAATCCCCCAACACCCTCTCTCTCTCCTCCACCTCTCCACGTCACCGGCCAAATAGGGGCCATCCCCGGCCGTTTCCGCCCCTCCCTCGCCCATAAAAACCCTCACTCGAGCTCTCTCTCTCATTTCCCCCATTCACCGTCCTCTCCCACGCCCTCTACCGCCGTCGCGCCGCGCTCGCCGAGCTCCGCCGCCACCGCCCATCTCCGGCCGCGTGCCGTCGCCACTAGGGCCGCCGCCGTGCCAAGCCGCCGCCGCCGCTAGCTCCGCCGCCGTGTGGGCCATCTCGGCCACCGCCTCGCGTCGCCGGAACCCCACCGGAACCCCATCTCCCTCGCGAGCCGGTGAGCTATCCATTCCCCTCCGTCTCCGGCCAGCCACTTTGGTCGTCGCGGTTGCCTTCTTCATCCCTAACTCCTCTCCTCCCCTCCTCTAGGTGTCGCCGCCGCTCGTCCGCCCCTCCTCTCGTCGGGTCGTCGTCGCCGCCTTCGTTTTCCGCTCCGGCCGCCGTGTCGCCGGTGAGTCCTCCCTCCCCCTCCTTTCCTCACCTTCCCGCGAGCGCCGGCCACGCCGCTGCTCCGGCCATGCGCCGCCTCCTTTCGGCCGTCGCCGCCGCTTCCCGCACCGCCGGTCACCGCCGTCGGTGGTCGTGCCTCGCCGCCGCCTCGCCTTGGTCGGCCGGTCGGCCTTGAGGCCGAGCCGAGCCCGGCCAGCGCCTCCCTCGCCTCCCCTTTGAGCCACCGCCTGGTGGGGCCCACCTGCCAGGCGCCACCTCCCTCCCTTTGGAGCCGCTGACCCGTGGGGCCCACGTGCCGGCGCCCCCCCCTTCGCTGACGTCAGCCCTGGGTATTATTGCGCAATAATTAATTAAGGACTTTTTCTTTATTAGTAAAAACACAGTTTATCTTCTAAAATTTATAAGTAATTCATCCGAGCTCCGTTTAAGTCCATTCAAGTCTCAGTAAATCAAGAAAAATGCAAAAAATCCATTAAAAATAGTTTTGTTTCCTGTTTCAGCAGTCTTATAGCATGTTTTGCTTGTGTGCTTTGTTTGTCGCGTAGGTTTCGGCCGTTTCGTCGATCCGCAGTTCCTCGAAGACGTTGCCGAGGTCTCATCAGTTCGAGAGCAAGGCAAGTCATGCAATACGTTTGATCATACTGTACCCAATTTACAAATATCCCGCATTTCTATTAAATGTTGCATTCTTTTACAATGTAATGTGGGATGGGTCCTATTCCTCAGCCACATATTGGTTACCTTATGCCATTGATAACTTGGGTATCAAAATGACTAGATGTTGGCTTAGGAAATGCTTAGCCATGCTTAGTTCAACTAGGACACAAATGGGGATCACATTATTACATAGACTCTGACTATTGGCATAGCTTTAGATTGGTGCCACCGCAAGGGTGTCAGTTAATTAAAATATTCTGAATGGCGGGCTGTGGGTGCATGGTTTTGCTGGTCGCACCCATGGCAGTTAAGGACCGGTTCACGGGAAACCCTGGGAGACTTATCGTGCTTACCACAAGCGGGAGTGGGTAACTGCTTGATCTGAAGCATAGCTCGACCCTTTCCTAGGCACCGGTGGCGAGGGTGGGCGTGATGGAGTTGGGTCGGCCGAGGTGTTCGGTTGTCCAGCTGCCGGATTCACCGCGGCGCAAGAGGGGACCGCCCACTGCCTTTTGAGGGGTGGGGGGTGAAACCTTAGCGTGGTGTGGATGGTTAGGGGAGGGTTATGTGGAGGGTCTTGTCACGATTTCCCCCTTTGCAGTATCATGGTGATACTTCGGGGCATGGCGACATGTGTGGAATCGTGTCTTGTGGGTACAGTTGTACACCTCTGGCCAGAGTAAAACTATTCGAATAGCCGTGCCCGCGGTTATGGGCGATCAACCAGATTCACCGTGATTAGTCTCACCCCTAGTTTAGCTTAATGAACTGGTGTAGTTTAGGTGGTTGGTTGGGCCTATTGCAACGTGGTGTAGCGTTGGACAGTGATTGGTTAATATTGATTAATTACTACAGCTGTTTTACTGCTTTCAACTACTGCTTTGAAATGCCTGCTTTATGCAAAAGAACCCCTAGCTTCCTTTGGTTATATCCTGCATCATACCTCCTCTTCCGGTATGACTTGCTGAGTACAGTGGGTAGTACTCAGTCTTGCTCTCTTTTCCCCCACACCAGAGTTGAAGTTCTTCTCCGTTGGAGCCGTCTCAGAGAGGTTGGTTTCGTTGCTGCCGTCAAGGTTTGCCTGTGGAGTGGAGTCGCCCGCTGCTGAAGTCAAGCTTCCCGGTTTAGCTCGCTTTAATCTTTCCCGCTGCATTTGTAATCTTTTATATTTTTCTAAGACGTGGGTCTGTATGTCAACAATTGTCGTTTGTGTACCCTGGCTGGTCCTGGACAGGGATTTAATGCACATTCAGCTTAGAAATTCTGGTTTGAGAATTTCTAGGTGTGACATGACCCGCTATGCATGTGGGAAGGAAGAATCCTTTGAAGGAAGGACGTATAGTGGGCATGAGCAAGGTGTGCCGTGTTTGCTGCATGGGCGTGCACGACGTGCACGATGTAGGTGGATACTTCGTCTGATTGCTCCGCGCCTACGGATGTCGCCACCAATGCGGCATTTAGCAAGCTTAACACAATCAGGAAGTTTTTGCCCATGGTGACAAATGAGATGGACGGATTGATTGAATAGATGCGTGCTGTGAATGGATGGAGCGTATATCGAAGACATGAAGGGCCGGGGTATATATACAATGAAAATATTCCTACTCTGGTCACATAATGACCTTGAAAAGTAAATTTCATGCATGCTTAGGATGCACTTGCATCTTCTCTTCTCTCTGTGTAGTTTGTTCTTCCTAATTGAGGAAGCGAGAAAATTTCAAACTTTGCGCGTGCACCCTCCTCCGTTCAAAGATATGGTTGCAGCATTGCCTGGATTACTGCCACACTACTAGTCTACTACAGCCAGCTTCCACAAGGTGCCAAGTCACATTTTTGAGCCCCACTCTGGTCCTCCACTGGAAAATAATATGAACCATTGATCTCATTTCATCGATGGGTTAAGATCTATTTATATTACCACCCTACTTAGTGATAGTAGAAATGTGGAGATGTATTATTGTAAAAAAAAGTGTTGAGGGGTATAATCGTCTTAGCAGTGACTTAAATATTTTTTTTCTTTTTCTTTTTGCTTTTTCGATGAAATATGAGCGATGTCAGTGGATTGAATGATCACAGATTGATAAAAAAACCGTAAATAACAAAGTTACCCCTAATCATTGTATTAGTAAATTACTAATTTACCCTTAATTCTACTTAGTAGTTTATAATATTGCAAGTAGAGAGCTTCCGAGCATTGCTCTTCTTCCTAATTAGCTGCGTGCTTCCGATAAGAGCCATTATTTGTTTTTAAATTTCACATAAGATGCATAACCCTACACATGTACACACATATATACCAACAAATATATCTTCTAACACACGTTCAAAGATATAGTGATCAATGATAATCCTGATCTCACTAAACCATTTTATAGCGCACAGAGTAACATATTGTCTCACAATATTGTACTCCAACTTTCATCGTTTAAAATTTATTATAAAATATAGCAACTTGTCCACTTATTTCCTCACATTAACAATTCCAAGCATTTCTCATTGATTTCCCCATCTACTTTCTTATTGTAACAACCCCAATAGTATTTTAGTTTTTTAATTGATCTACCTACTTCGTGGATCAGCGTGGAAGAAATTTTCTACTAGTATATTATTTTAGGAGGGAGGGAATAGAAAGTTTCTTGTATAATGGAAGTCACCAATATTAAGCGAACCGGCGTTGACGAAATCCCATTATTGACACTGATTAAGTGTCGTGTCATGGAATTAACAGTCGCATTGACGAAGTCCCTAATCTAGAATCAGAAGCTAATTCCGGCCCCCGGTTCTCATGTATTAGCTATTCGCTGATAAAAAGTTTATCGCGCGCTATGAATTTTGAATATTCCTCGATCAACTGATTATTCTCATGTTTGAATGAGTGATTTCTAGAGCCAAGAATAGTACGATTCCGTGTGTAATCGGAAAAAAAAGAAAGAGGAAATTATATTTGAGCTATCGTTTATTGCTAACACTGGTGGAGAAACTCTTTGTAGTCCCGGTTTGTAACCCCCTTTAGTCCCGGTTTCCAAACCGGGAGTATCAATCCGGGACTAAAGATCGCTATCTTTAGTCCCGGGTGAAATAACCGGGAGTAAAGATCGATCTTTAGTCCCGGTTGGTGTTACCAACCGGGACTAAAGATAGAGCTGACCTTTTTTTTTTTTTGCATGCCCCTGTTGCTGCATGGTTTATATATATATATATATATATATATATATATATATATATATATATATAAACCATGCATATATATGTTTCAATACATATATATGCATACATATATATATGTATTTATACATATATATGTTATGCAAATGCATATGTATATAGATATATATATGAACAAAATATATTTACATTATAGAAAATGTGTACACATGCATATAGAAACATATGTAGTCATGTATTAATTACAATCCATTATATGTCCTAGCTAGCTACGGTTTCGACGTAGTAGTACTCGCTGCTAGCTCAGAAGCTAAGGACCGGTGAATTGTGTTTCCGTCGTAGTAGAATTCACCCTTGGGATCAAGGATTTCTTCGTTGATGAATCCCATGAGTTGTTCTTGAACCGCCGCGATAAATTCCTTGTGTGTGGTCAGGTTATCCCTCATGCGAATAAACTATATGAATGTATGAAATTGATTAGTAATTAAACAAGAAATCGCTACGTAATGAAATTTTGAATTTATTTGTACGTACATCGAGCTCTCTTGTGGTGATGATTTGGTCTGCAAGGCAGTGGCAATACTCGCACACGTAATAGCCGCACAAGTTAGTTCCCTGCTTTTGCTTTGCGCACTACAAATAAATGACAAACAACGAGAGATCTAATTAATATACACTTATATGTATTTGAATCGGAGAAATATAAATGTAGAGCATGTGTACTCACAGGAAATTTGAACTTCCGCCTAAGTCTTTCTCTCCATTTGCCGCGGACCAAATGACGGAACCGATACCAAGCCCTACATGGAGTTTAAAGCTATGATTTGTAGTAGCAATTAACATAACAAGATTTTCTTAATTAACAAAGGAACTTATGACGGTACCTGTCTATAAGTTCGAAAACCTTGTCAAACGTAGACTCTTTTTTATCCATTGAGTCATATACGTTGACGGTGCAGGCCTCCAGGTCGATGAGTAAAAGCACCCAGTGGAATCTGCAATGTGCGTGGGATGCATTACATATGAAACACTTAGCAAGTTCGTACGGGAATGAAATTTGGTATGTAGGAAGACAGTAAAATTAAACTAACTCTGTGTTGTATGGCAACAGTATGAACGTCTTGTAATGCTGCGCCTTCAGGAGATGGACGAGATTGTCCTCTGTTTCTTGTGGATATTGGTCGAGCATTGCGACGTTTACTTTCCGAGGGTCGATGAATCCAGTATCGAAAACCCTCCGCCGTCGGGCCCTTTGAATCTCCATTCTACAACGATAAAAGGGAGTATATTATTTTCTATGGTCTACTTATATACAAGGACCTAATTAATTAAAGGAGACGTATAGTAAGAAATCTAACTGAACGATATACTTACAAAATCCAGCAACTCATAATAGAGACGTCGAGGGCGTCCAGCTGGTATAGTTCGTAGATTCCCCTGAAATTGATCCAGAGAATGTCATCTCCTTGCAAGAAGTCCGTGTCCCTGATCCTCGCTCCGATCATCTCTCTACCGGTGGCGCTCATCTCCATGTACAGCTGATGGAACTTGTACATTTGTGTGGGTAGGGACTGCAGCAGCTCAGGCTTGACAAGCGGTTTACCGAGTTCGTACATGTATTTCACTTCCGCCTTTTCGATTGGTGCGACTCCTAGCAATTGATCCGTAGTTAGACCGGTGTCAGTAATAAATTGTTCTATCGTCATTTCTTTACCGGTCACCAACGGCTCGATCTCCTGGTTTGGTTGCTCTCCAAGCTGAGGGACTGGTTTGGACTTTCCAGAAGATGCTTTCTTCAGCGTTCGCTCATAGTCCGATAGCTTGATGGCATTTTCTTTGTTTCTTTCCATCATCGCCTTCCCTTGTTCACCTGTCTTATATGCAACGAACTCGTCCCAGTGATCCCTTAGCTTTGGGAATGTGTCGAAGTTCGGTGTCTGCCCCTTCAGTATATACTTCTGGTACAGATCTCCCTTGAAGCTCTGAAACTGTTCTGCCATTTTCTTCAGAGTCCACCTTTTCACTTTGTCCTCTGTACCCGCAGGAAGGGTGAATGTCTCGAGCATTGTGGTCCACAGCATCTCTTTCTCCGAATCTGGGACAAAGCTCTCATGATCTCCGCGTGCCCTTGTTCTTCGCCAGTACACCGTACTGACAGGCACGTTATCCCGCACAACCCAACCGCTGTGACGTACATAGTTCTTGGCGGCTTCGGCCGGGGCACTAGGACGTCCATCTTCTTCCACTTCCGTTATGATGTGCCGACCCTCAAGCTTCTTCGCTGCACCTCGTTGCCCGCGTGCCCTCTTCTGTCCAACGGAGGGTTGACTACCACTAGCCTCCTCCTCCTGGTTCCCCTCCACATCCCTTTCCACGTGCCCCTGCTGGTTCCCCTCCGCATCCCTCTCCACGTTCCCTTCCTCGTTCAAGTACTGGTTTGGATCCTCGTTCCCCTCTTCTTCATTCCAGTACTGGCTGCTTCCCTCCGCGATTGTATCGTACAATATCTGTTCCTCATCGCGGTCAGCCATCTGTTTGATACAAGAAACATCTGCTAAGTCACGAGACATTTATGTTTTAACAATCTAAGTCATGTATGCTAAGTGTAAATGTCGTACATTAGAACCCTACACAACCTTACGTGCTAAGTCTAATTACAAATCGTGATATAAGCTAAGTCTAGGTGACGTATATTATACAACCCTAGCTAGTAAATAATTATATACTAAGTCTAATTACAAATAAAATAATCTTATATTAAAACTCAAATAATATTACATGCTAATACTAAAATAGTCATGTATATGCTAAGTGTTTCGTGCGTATATGCTAAGTCTAATTAAGACTACAATAGTCAATTGCTACTTGTCGCACCAATTCCGTAGTCAATAATTACATACCAAGTCTAATTACAAATAAAGTAATATTATATTAAAACTCAAATAATATTACATGCTAAGACTAAAATAGTAATGTATGCTAAGTGTTTCGTGCGTATATGCTAAGTCTAATTAAGACTACAATAGTCAATTCCTAGGAGTCGCACCAATTCCGTAGTCAATAATGTCATACTAAGTCTAATTTGCAATAAAATAATCTTATATTAAAACTCAAATAATATTAGAACACTACACAATCTTATATGATAAGTCTAATTACAGGTCTAATAATCTTAATTAATTGCATTACAAATATAACAATCATTTATATTATTACGTCACTTGCCTGCTCCAATTCCTTCTAGGGCTAGCTCTTCCACTCAGGCTTGACGGACGACTCCGACAACACGTCTTTTCTGCAAGATAAAAAAATGTATTAGGATAAATGCGAAGTAACATATATATATATATATATATATATATATATATATACATGTATATATATATATATATTGCATTTCACGTTAACGTTCGTCCTCGTTCGTTCGCTCGTTCACGTTCCCTAGCTCGTTCACGTTCGTTCGATCGTTCTCGTTC